CCCTGCCACAGAGAGGTGGGGGGAGGAGGTGGGTGAAAAAAAAACCCCAAACAAACCCAAACAAACACCCAATTAGCGGTGGAGCGAGAGAGAGGAAGTGATTCAGCCAAGAGTCTGGCAGATGAAGCTGGAAATGTGAACCAGTCCAGCTTGGAGGAATAAAGTCCCCTTCATCCACACGATGAGTTGCTGGAAATGCTTAAATTCCACCCCCAGGGTGACAAAACTGTCTCATTTTCTACCTGGATTATCACAGAATCACAGAATCTTAGTGGTTGGAAGGGACCTCTGAGATCATCGAGTCCAACCACAAAAAAAAAACAAAAAACAAACAAAAAAAAACCAAAACCAAAAACCCAAACAAATACAAAACACACCACACCAAACGCCCACCAAAAAACACCGCACCCACCAACTAAACCCCACACTCAACACCTCACCATAAACCAATAACCTTGGGCACTAGAGCATCCCACACCTCTTTTTCCCCTCCCTGCCCCCTGTCTCCTCCAGCCTCACCACGTAGCGGAGAGCCTCCAGGAACCTCTCGTGGTGCTGGATGTGCTGGGCCTCGTCCTCGGGGCTGCCTGCCGTGTAGATCATCCCGCACGACTTGCAGACTATGGCCCCAAAATGCTTCTGCCCGGCATCCTGGGGAGAAACAAAACCAGTGAAACGCTCTGAGGCTCCTCAAAACCGTGCTCCCTTTAAGGCATGAGGCTGAGAATTGGTTCTAGTAACAATAATCGATAATAATACTAATTCTAGTATTTGTTTTCACTCCAATTCGTGGAGAGGAGGACCAGCTTTGGCTTATTTGCAGAATATTCGGAGCGACAGAGCGTTAAATTATAATAATAATATGAATTCTACTATTTGTTTCACTTGAATTTGTGGAGAGGAGGACCAGCTTTGGCTTATTTGCAGAATATTCGGAGCGACAGAGCGTTAAATTATCCAGGGAACACAATGAATGCATCCTTTGGAAACAGAGAAGCAACGTCCTCACTGAGGAAACATCGTCAAAGAGCACTAGAAATGAAACCAAAGGAAAACTCTGTAGAGTCTTTTCATCGTTTACCTAAAAATAACCTCACTTTTACCTCTGTCAGGAGACAGGGAGGGGGAGAGAAGGAATCAAGTGCCCGTTGTACAAGAAAACAGCAGATGGGTCTTTAAAAGAAGCCTAATTTGTTAAGGACTCGTTTAATTTCACAGCACCTTCAACTTTTCCTTCCCCAGGTCCCAGCTGGGGCTTCCCCTGGTGTCCCATCACCCACGGTTTGTCCCTCGTGGGGCTGGTGGCCACCAGGTAGCCCTGCTCAGGGCAGGGAGGGCTGCTGAGCACACGCTGTTGGCTTCCCTTTGGCGCAGACACCCGGGTTTCCCCCTCCTGCAGGGACCAGCCTTCAAAAGGCTCAAAAACTTCTATCTGTGAGGTCTGAAATTTGACAGGAATCAGCCCAAGGACTCAAAAGGTGCTAAAAAGGGAGAACCAATGGTTGATTACAAAAAATTCCTCATGGCTGAGGCGTGTTTCCTGGAAATCCACCCGTGAGAGGGCCTCTTTGGGTTTTTTTTTTTTTTTTTTTGGTATTTAGCATTACATTCCATAAATCTCTTAACGTAATAAAGCGCTAGTCCCAGGGAAACCCTAACGAGTGTTTCCCAGCTACTGCCCTGTCTTCATTTAGCGCTAAATACATCAATCACCGCCCGGTTACGGGGTTGGTTTGAGGTTTGCACATAAGAAAATCTACTTATGGCTCCGTCTCGGGATGTATTTCTCATTCTGAGCCACCCCAAGGCCCCAGCACGCCCCCAGGGCACCCTTACAATGACCATCTGATCCCTGGAGCAGAGCTCCTTCGCCTTCTTGCTCTTCTGCAAGGGGTGAGGTGTTTTCACGGGTGGGTTGGACCCGAAGGGAGAAGTCAGTTCATCCAGCGCAGCCTGAGTCCTGAAAAAGCATTTCAGAGGGATGTGACGCTTGATTAAACCCCTCTCCCACTCCCAAAGCCATCCTAGTTCCCAGAATTTTGGCTGCCCCATCCCTGGAGGGGTTCAAGGGCAGGTTGGAGGGGGCTTGGAGCAACCTGGTGTGGTGGGAGGTGTCCCTGCCCAGGGCAGGGGGTGGCACTGGGGGGGCTTGAAGGTCCCTTCCCACCCAAACCATCCTGTGATTCTATGAATAGTGAATGAGGTTTTCCATAAAAAGCTGCTCAGCTCTGGCAATTTTGCACCCAAGTCTAAGTAGGACCCAAAAAACCCAAACTTTCCCCGAAATGGTCCCCCAGAGGTGTCCCTGATGTGTTTGATTTGTGTGTAAAATTTCAGCTCTCACCTGAGATCGTCTTATAAAGCTTTGTGCTCCTGTTTTGTGAGGAAACTGGACTCTAGAGTTCACACCACGTCAGCACCGTTTGATTTGTGTGTAAAATTTCAGCTCTCACCTGAGATTGTCTTACAAAGCTTTGTGTTCCTGTTTTGTGAGGAAAGTGGACTCTAGAGTTCACACCACGTCAGCACCACTCTCATAGAAACACAGAATGGTTTGGGTGGGAAGGGACCTTCAAGATCATCTCATTCCCACCCCCTGCCCTGGGCAGGGACACCTCCCACCACACCAGGTTGCTCCAAGCCCCCTCCAACCTGCCCTTGAACCCCTCCAGGGATGGGGCAGCCACAGCTTCTCGGGCCAACCTGGGCCAGGCTCTCACCACCCTCCCACCAAACAAGTTCTTCCCCACAGCTCAGCTCCATCTCCCCTCTTGCAGGGTCCAACCCTTCCCCCTCCTCCTAGGGCTACATGTCCTGGTTTTTCTAACCGACCTTTAGGCTCCTGTAGGTAAAGTGGCAATTCTTTAAGTGATCTTAAAAGCAGGAGATTGTTAACTGTTGTGCAGCAAACCTTTATGTGGAATTAATTTAGAGATACAGGAAACCATTTTATAGACTTGGTAGCTCAGGAGAAATTCCAAAGCGGAGGCTTCACGGCGGAGAAGCTCGTGCTCAGCAGCTTCCCAGGAGACAACTGCAAACCCATTTGCAGATAATCACAAACACCAGGATTTTCCACAGATCCCCGGGTTCCTCTTGCACCACTGAAGGCATTTGGAAAAGCCCCAGAAGGAAGCAAAGCAAATATTGCAACCGGGTTTCTCTTTCAACACTCCCGGGGCAGAGGACGACGGTAGCGGGACAAGTCTGGGATGGTTTATTTTGGCTTTTTTTTGGAACAAACTTAAGTGGTTTGGGGTGGTTTTTTTTATGTTCACAATAAACTTGGCTTAAAATTACTTTATTGTTACCAAAATGTATGAGGAAGTTGATTCAATATGGGAGAGGGATGAGGAGCTCTGGTTCTTGCGTGGGAAAACAAGCCTTTTGCCATTAGAGGTCTCCGAATACAGCGGCAAATTAATTGAAGAAAGAAGCTAATTAGAAGCACAGACACCAGGTAGAACGGTCAGACTTTGTGAGTAAAAAGCCCCAGTGTCTGCAAGGAATTTATCAGGAATCAAAAGGAATCAAAAGGAAATCAAAAGGAATCAAAAAGCAGCACTGAAGCAGCACTTCTGAAATCTTGAGGTCTGTACAACCCTAATAACTCAGAAGTGAGTTATTTTAACAGTTTATAAACAAATTCCATAAGGCTTTAAGGGTGAAGGAGGGAGCGTGTGACAGAGACACAGGAGCTGCATGAGCCCCAGGCAGAGCTGCCCCACCAGCCTTTCCAGTGTCAGTGGATGAGGACACTCACACTTGAACTGGCCCAGACTGGAAGATGCTGCTCGTTATGGGTACTCCAGACAGAACACACACAATTAGTATAAATAAATAAACAAAAACCCCTCTGCAGGGCCCAAACGCCACCAAAGCTGGGCCATCCTCCGTGATGAATGGACCATAAAAGCCTTGTTCTAATGATTTTAGAGAGAATTTTTAAGATAAAACTATTTTACCTTTTTAGTTTAAAAATAAATAAATAAATCAACTCAATAATACGTACCAATTCACAAGTAAAATGTACTACAGGCAGCAAGCAAATGTCTATTTCCTTATTCATGGTCTAGTATCCCCCTAAACCCACACAGATTATGGCTTTCATCTTCCCTTTAAAAGAAAATAAAGCCAACCCAATAAATAACCCGACTCCCAAACCTCACAGGGACGGGGAGAAAGCCAAGTTATTGTTTTCAGAAATAGTCTGATTTTTTTTCATTAAAACCCAATGATTAACCTACCTTTTCTTGCTGGCAGGGGGTGCACTGAATATGGGGTAGATGTCGGGGTTGGAAGGAGAGGCTGGAAGAGAGGAGTGAAGTTATTGTGGTTTTGGCCCCTTTGTGGCTGCAGAACACACTGATACAGAAATTCAGACACAACAGAGAGTTCAAAACCACCCACAACAGTGAAAATGAACTTTAGAGACAAGAGCTTATGAGTTCTGGGAAGCTGGTGGTGCTGCAGGATAGAAAGTTATATTCATGAGTGATACCCAGCTGTTAATTACCTCCAATCCACTCCAGTGACACTAACTGGGCTCCCTGGTACTTTCCCCCCCCTCACACTGGAATTATAAAGCAGGAATTTCTGCTGCAGCAGCCTAGTGTTTCCTCAGCTATTGATTAAAAGCGTTAATTAAGAAGAGATTTCTCCATTTGCCATTATTTTGCCTTCCTCATGCCAGAGAAGCTCGGAAATGACAGGCTCAGCCCCAGGTTACAGCTGAGTGTTTTGGGGCAATTTAGCAAAGACTTTGGTAAATAAACTCAAGGAAATTATTATTAGTGAGGAATAAAATTTCCCCCCAGAGTGTAAAAAGTTGAGGTGGGAGAGGAGGGTTCTATGCAGAGCTGGAGAGAGCAGAGAGAAAAGGGACTGGTAGGACAGAGCACATCACTACTCCAAAGAAGAGGAGGAAAGGTGGAGAAATGGGGAACTTCAATAAAACAAACTTCACAACGGCCCCAGGAGGGGATAAAGAAAATTCTGAAGTGAAGCAAGACTAAAGGGATGGCAGGGGAAAAGGCTCAGGAGAGCTGGCAATTTCTTCAGGAAACACATTAAGAGCAGATGGGCCAGAAAGAAGTGGAATAAGAGACAAACGGGGCTAAATCCTGAATTTTTTTTCACTGCCTGGCAACGCACAGAATCGCAGGGGGAAGGGAAACTAAGGGAAAGAGGAGCAGAAATGCCAAATCACTAGGCCAGGCCCAGGAAAACATCCCCTTTTCCAGGGGAAAACCCTGAGCAAAGAATCAAAGCAGAAGAGAAAGGAGAACAAGCCAGTCAGGGCCTTTTTATTTGAGTCATCAATAAAGGAATTAGTTGGGATGAGATCGTTAGCACAATTAAAACACAGAGGAGATAGGAAATTCCACAGCTGGGGAAGGATGTGAAGAGAACTCTGGGATAAATCAGAGCTTTTCAGCTCAGCAAGGATGGAATTAAGAATTAACCCAGGGCTGGAGGAGCAAATGCTGCTTATTTTTAACAGGGAAAAAAAAAAAAAAAGAAACCAGGAAATAAGGATAAAATAACATGACCTCAACTTCTGCAAACATATTGGCACATGTTAGTGCATATTTGGAAGATGAGAGAGCAGGTGGAGGAGAACACGCCAGCTTGCCTCAATAAAATAACATTTAAGCAACAGATTTTCTTATTATTATCACCTGGTATTGCCAAGAGGAAAAAATAATAAGCGTCTTAAAATTATTATATAACTTATGAAAATTCCCTTGTGTGAAATACTGTCTCTGCAAACCAACCATGAGAAAAGGGGCAAAGTCACCCAGGGGAAAAAATAGTATCATATTCATATAATTATTGTTCAAATATATGTGTTCCCTGCGTATGAAAAGTGTTAATTACTCCCTTCTGGCTAATTAGCGCTGGTAAGGCTGGGATGGAGATTTGGGGGCATCACAGCAGGAAAGATGTGGCTCAGTCTGGAGAAAATAGATAAAGGATAAATTCAGGTGCCTAAAAAAAATCAAGATTTAAAAAGGAAAGATGGAAGAATCCAGGTAATTGATCAGGGTTGATCTCGTTGGGGAAAAGCAGGTAAACAAAGAGGTTTTCAAAGTCTCCTCCACCTCAGTTTCCTACAGCAACATCCGTATAATCCCATTTACCTGGTTTGTTCCCCTCAGGGGGAGGTTGGCTCGAAGGAATAACACCATCGTCCGACTCCTGGCTTGAGGAAGAACTGATTTCCTCAACGTCCTAGAAATTAAGACGATTTATTTTAGGGTAAAAAAGAAAACTCTCCTACAGCGACAGAATCACATAGAGCTCAAGTGACTGTCACATTAATTGACATTATGAAGCGTCACCAAGGGCTGTATTTTCCAACAAAGGAAGAGGGTTTGGCAGATTACCCCTCTCCCTCATATTAAAATTACATCCAATTGCTGCAATTAAAAATATTGCTGGAAACGTTGCCCTCCAGCACCGAGGAAAAAGTAGTTTCCTGCAGGTTCCTCGCAGCCTTGGGGCAAAATATCCCCAATTTCTCATCTTTGACCAGTCAGACCCAGCTCAGCTCACGACAGCGATGGTGGATTTTCATCCCCAACACCCTCCCACCTCCTTAGGCCCCTTATTGAAGGAGGGGGGTTGTGTAATTTTGTTTTTCAGTAAATCTTAACTGTGGAGGTTGGTATCACTTCCTCACCTCAGCATTTTGAGGACTCTGCTTCGTTCTCTCTCTGCAACTTGGCACCTCCACAGCTTTTGGAAGCCTCTTGCAAATATTCTATTAAAAAAGAAAATAATAAAAGTTTGCCAAACTGATTTTTGCCTTAAAAACCTGCTGCTTTTGTATATGATGGTGTGTTATTTCCCATCTCACCAGGAAGCTGAGTGTCAGCAGGTAAAGAACTGTTTGTAGCTGAATCTCAAGATTAATCAAGGCCAAATTCAGTCTGTGTTTGGCTCAATTCCCTTTTCAAACACCCCCTGTTTGCCAACACAAAAAAACCCACAAAAACTTTCAAATTTGGGTTGTTTTTTTTTCCCCTGCACGTGCAAGATTAGATCACACAAGCAAACATTTGCCTTTTATTAATGTTGAGTTGTAAAAACATATTGAGAGTCAAGGCTGGAGCGTGAGGGAGACGCTAAACCAGCGCAGGTGACTGAAGGAGGCAATAAATTGTCCTTTATTGAACCCCCCCAAAAAAAGGAATATAAACCACATTAGCTCTGTAAAAACCAGCTTCCCAGGCTTGTTCACTGCCTCCTTTCTATACCCAGTATAAAATCCTACAGTAGCATTCCAGGGGCTTTTCCTACTTTGTTTCAGATGCAGGAACACACCAGCAAAACATGAAATTAAGTGCAAGAAGTTGAACCATTCCAGCCCCGCTAAATATATTTGTGCAGGAATCTAATGTACAGTTAAAAAAAAAAAAAAACAACCCCAAAAGACCACTTTTCCATCCCCAGGGGTTTATTCACTGCTAAGGGAGCGATAGAGAAAAGATATTTATATCTCCTCAGTGATATATAAAAAGGTTCAAGTTCTTCAAACACTGACCATCTCCGAAAATTCATTGTTGGTTTGTTAAAGTAGGGGAAAAAAAAGGGCCTTTTTCTCGCTTCCCTGGAGAAGGAAAGCACCACACGTGGCTCCTGCTGCGAAAATAATCCCTAAAAAAGCTAATCCCTGAATCCCAGCAACCAGAATCTTGTGACCCAGGAGAAGCCTCGAAATGAAGACAACTCTAGAAAGTAGTTTGCTTTCTCTGCCCCGTGATTTCAGTGGCTGAGGAAAACCAAACTGGGCTTTGCAGAGCCCACAGCTCCTGAGAAACGCCTCCTTCCTCCAGCTCTGACCTCCCCCGGTGCTCAGTGAGGTCAGACCTGGGTTATATTTATTAAAACAAGAAGAGAACAGAAAAGAAATTGCTGAAAAACGTCTTTTTCAGCTTTGCCCTTTATCACAAGCGGGGAGGAACCAAGATATATATTGGCTTTTGCAAAAGCTTCATGCAAAAAACTTTCAGCCATCATAAATATATTATTTATATAATATATCTATATATTATATATATTTATATATTATATATATTTATAATAATAGCAACAGATGGGGGTGCTGACAAGACCTTCCTGGAGGTTTACCCCAGTTTTATACCTTTATAAGGCAAGAATAAATTTGTGGAAGCCTTTTTAGGCAAAAATCCACTAAAATACCTAAATAAACACCCTGTGTCTGTCCCTCCCAGGACGCTGTATGTGTGTGTCACCTCAACCCCTGGTGTTGGGGGACACGTTTACTCACCCCCTTCTCTCCATCGCTGTCCCCTGGGTTCTGGGAAGCACAAACTGGACCCAGGTTGCTCCCGTTTTTCCCCTGGGATCTTTTTCCATCCCCGACCGAACCTCCCTCTGGATTTTCACTGCTCACAGAGTCCTCCCTGTTGGCATTTCCCTTCTCCTGAGGCACAGGAATGCTCCTCAAGATGCCCTCCACCTTGAGAATTTGGGTTTTATCACCTGAATTCGACTTGCTAGTTGTCAGCGGCGCGGGCTGAGCGTTTTCCTGCAGAGATTTGGGGTCAGCCGGGAGAGATTTAGCATCTCCAAGTGGTTTTTTGGAGTGTGATTTCTTCCTGGCGGAAAAAAACGCCGCTCCCAGCTGGAGTTTGAAGGCAGGTTTCACCATCCTGCTCAGGACCCGGCAGGGAGAATCCCTCTTCTTTTTCACCAGGATATTCACGTTCTCTTTCTCTGCGCTGGGTTTTCCTGGAGGAACATCTGCCTTTGCTTTCTTCAGGCTTGTGGGGGGAGCTTTGGCGTGTTTGGGGGGCTTGGAGCTGGGGGGCCTGCTCAAGTTCCTCTTCTCAGTCCTGCTGGCGGCCGGCAGGTTGTCATCCCTGCTCCTCTCCCTCAAAAAGCAGTTCTCCTTCAGTTCTTTCCTCTCTAGAGGGGTAAGGTACCGCTTTTCCTTGCTGTAAAAAGACATCACGGGCACGAGGGGCTTGTAGGAGGCAGCGGATTTGGGGGAGGATTGCCCCGAGGAGCCCCCCGAGGCTGCAGGAGCCCCAGCTGCCTGGAGGGGTGAGATATCCAGCCTCCTGGGCAGCACTGCCTTCTCCGCCACCGCCTCATTCTCCCCCGACTCATCGTTGCTGGAGCCCGAGGACCAGTTTATTTGAGAAGCAAAGTGGTGATTTCTGGGTTTCTTGGGCAGAAAGGCGCCGGCGGCGAAGCCAGTCAGGGCTTTTTTCACCGGAGTCTGAAAGGCTGAGGGTGAGCTGTGAAAACAACCAGGGAGTAAAACATCCCATGCACCACTGAAAGACTTTTTCAATTCTCATTTTACTTAATTACACTTAATTTTCACTCGGCTTAGTAGCCTGTACAGCTATATCCCCTGGAACAAATACAAATTACAGCAAAATACATATATTAAAAAGCCCAAGATTGTCTTGTAATTCTTCACATATTTTTTTTTTTTTTAATTAAACAATTTAAATCTTCTTTTCCTGCCTGAACTTGTTAAAGCACCTGGGAACAACGTTCTGCCCCCTGGAACGCTGCTGGTGGGATCAGCATTAGTTGGGATTAAG